AAAAAAAAAACCCATGAAAAGGCCATAATCTCCTCATTTTAGGCCCTTCCTCCTATCMCCTCTACCACTGAAKTCTAAATCCCCCTCAATGTCTGAGATTAGCCTTTCCACTTCAGATCTTTTTTCTTCTTTGTTCCCTTCCCCCCCCCCTTCCTAATACAACAATCATCCTTTTTCTTTTCTCCATCCTTTCCAGCCAATGTCTGAGGAAGAATTTTACCCTGCTCATACTTATTTTAGCTACAACATCTCTCTAAGAATCCTTCCTTTTTTTTAGTTCCTCCATCATTGTACAGATCAACTCCCAAATTCTATCCACCTCCCCCTTACTACTTCCTTCCATCACCCTCTCTCCTCCTTCCACTATCACCCTCTCTCTTGCATCAGAACCTCCTAGATGGGAAGCTGGAATATTTGTTACAGGCATAGCAGACAAGTCAGTACCTAAAAAAGAATTGACACCCAAACCTGGTAGGACGGGGGTAGGACTAGAATCACTGGAATTGAGTTGTTGACATGCGACAAATGGTTTTAAGGCCTTTCCCCTTTTTGGACAAAGTTGTAAAGTAGACATAGTGAAAGAGTCACTTCCTAACAACCTACCCACTTGGAAAACCTTTCTTTGTGTTTCCGACACTGGAATACCCACATCCATCCTCACGGCCGATTCTTGTCCCTCTCCACCAACATCCTGTAATTCATTAGACTCAGGGTCAGCTCCCTCGACGAAGGGAAGAGGAGTTTTCACAGCTTTAGGACCATTTTCTTCACCATTTCTAGTCTTCCCACCACCTGCCTCTTCAATCTCTTCCTCTAAAAACAACAGCTCTGTAATGCAAACTTTCTATTTCAAGTAATTTTTTTAGCATGGATTTAAGTCAGCATTATCAAGATCAATCAAATACAAAAATGGAATATCAATAGGTAAAGATAAAGTACCAAAAATAGGGAAAAATATGAGGTTCCATAAGCAGTATTTCCTTTCTTTTGTCCCACCCCCCTCCAGAAAACTATGAGCAATCAAGAATAAGAGGGGAAAACACCAGAAAGGAGTATGATAAAAGATTTAAAAAAAGCATGCATACCTTTGTCAAACTTTTTGCCATCTGGATCTATTTGCTTCACAGTGAAAATATCCTCAAACAGAAGATCAACCATTCTCCCGTAAAGTTGACCTCAAGATTCAATTTTTCACCTACAAAAGTATGAATCTTTAGTGCAACTATAAAAACAATTCCATGCAGGCATTTTTTGCAGTCAGTGTTGCTTTGAGGAAAATGCTACTAGATCATAGTAATTATGCATATTTACTAGTAAATACTAAATACACTCTTTGATATTTTTTATTGGTCGCTCTCTTCAACACTTCTACTTCAATTCACATTTTTCTTTCTTTTTGATCCGTTAGATGTGTTCAATTTCTATTGTATCCTTCATGTTGAGGTTTTCACTATGAGTAGAGCATTGACAAGGGGTGCTTGTCTCAGTTGGAATGAATTCATGCACAGATTACATAGCATTCAATTCACATTTTTCTTTCTTTTTGATCCATTAGATGTGTTCAATTTCTATTGTATCCTTCATGTTGAGGTTTTCACTATGAGTAGAGCATTGACAAGGGGTGCTTGTCTCGGTTGGAATGAATTCATGCACAGATTACATAGCAGTAAGCATGTAGGAGTGAAGAAAACTCTTCAATTCACGAGAAATTTGAGAAAAGTCTCAAAGGAATAACTTAAATTTAAAATTCCCTTTGTGATGTCTCCATGACAATTATTAGAGGAAAAAAAACTGACTTAAGACCCAGGAGAAGTCCCAAGGCCATTACACAATGCTGGTTCGGTTACTAAGGGTTCTTGGGAGGGGTGAACTAGATGCAGACCTAACCTCCAACAATCTCGTTTCACATAGTGTCCAGCCTCAGACCAGAACCTACAGTCTCACACTTTTCAGCCTAGAATTCTAGAAATATTTAACCACTTGCAACACACTAAGATTTGTTTACCATTCTAGTCCTACACCTAGAATTCTAGAAATATTTAAACACTTGTAAATTACAAATATGACGCATATCAAAAAAGAACAATATGACAAAGAACCAAGTACCCTCATTCAAGGAATCCTCAATGATCAAAAGCCAAACCACAGTAGGGATAAAAAGGCAGAGATAAAAGGATAGATACATGATTGCAAAAACACAGAAAACAACAATGCCACTTCAGTTAGTAGTTAGACAAAGCCAGTAATCAAATACCAATCAAATTTGTTAATGTGGAGTACATATCAAAATGTGTTATAGGAATCAGTAGAAAGAAAATGGATACCAAAAATACCTTAAGATGTATGGCTGTGTAATAGCTGCTTCTTGGGATTAAAAACATGAAGCAATTCCAATTATTTGCTCAGCATAAATCCTTTACAATATACCCCAAATCATTTGCTCCCAATTTACCCCTTATCTAGCAAAAGAGTCTGCCAATCCATTTGCTGATCTCTGAATCCAAATGAATCTTGTATTCAAGTATTGTCTATGCTACCTGATCTCCCTCATTATTTGTCTAAACCACCATGAGCTGGGTCTATTATTTTGCATCCAGCTTATGATAGTCGTTGAGACACCTTCCACAAGGAGTTTTGTAACAATGAGGAATGCACTTGTCCATCAAAGACTAGTCAACCTACTGAAAAAGCTGTATTAGGAGGGTACTCAAAATCTGTCATTGTCTCGTTCATTGATAAACCATCTTCCAAATAACCTTCCAACAGTTGAGAACATAAATCACCTACTTCTCCAGTATGGGCAAGACCATCAACCAACAGTGCATAAGTAGTCTCATTAGGCATCAACCCCAAATCCCTCATTTCCATGAACAGGTGAATGGCTGAATGAAAACGATAAGATTTAAACAGGAAACCAATGATTGTATTGAATGTAATGTGGTCTGGCTCAATCCCTTCATCAGCCATGTCCCTTAGGGTCTTCTTAACTGACTTAATATCTCTCACTTTACATAAGCCAGAAAGCATAATGTTAAATGTGTATGCATTAGGAACTACACTAAGTTCCTTCATCTGCCTATACAAAGTATGAGCCTCCTCAATTCTACCACTTTGGAGAAGCCCATGGATTGCAATAGTATATGACACAACATCGAGGGGGTACTTTTTGACAACAGCCTTTCTGAACAATTTGATGGCTCTATGTACCATACCTAGTTTGATGAGCTCATCAATGATTATGGTATGGATGTGAGCATCATGAGCTGAATTATTCATCACAATGCCATGGTAAACATTAACTGCCTCATCAACTCTTCCTGCTCTGCATAATCCACTAAGTAATGCTACGTAACTATAATTATCTGGTGTAAATCCCCTATGCACCATGTCATTATAGAAATCTACAGCTTCTGAAGCAAACCCAGCCTTACATAAAAAATTTAGGAAAGAATTATAGACCACCAAATCTGCTGATAGACTCAATATAAAAAGTTTATTAAGTAAATGGGGAAATTTTTCAAATCTCTCAGACAAACATAGAGTGGACAATATAGAACAAATAGTATAAGAATCAGGTTCTATATTTTGTTTTGACAACCCAAGGAATACATCAAGTGCATCATCATACCTCCCAATCTTTGAGAAACAATCTATTAAAACATTGTAAAAAACCAAATCTGGCAAGCATCCTTTGGATTCCATGGTATTCAGAACGTTGTACGCTCTACCGAACATTCGAGATCCCATGAATCCCTTAATCAAAGATGTATATATTACAACACTAGGTGAATACCCACTTTCGATCATCTTCTCCAATAAATGATTCGCTGTACCAAGTCTACCAGCCCTACAGAACCCATCAATCAATATACCCCAAGCATGTACTGAAAGGGAATGACCTATTGTAATCATCAAACCCAATAGTTGTAATGCCTCTGCCAGCCTTCCCCCCTTACATAACCAATTTAAGAGCATCAAAAAGAATTCCATACCAGGATGAAACCCCTTTCTCAACATGATTCTCATGACATCGGAAACACCTTTCAAGTTGTTCAGATTACTTAGATTCTGAACTGCTATACTAAATGTCAAGAAATTCGGTTCCCCTGTTCTGTTAAGAACTCCAATGGCTGCGTCAACACACCCTAGCTTGAACAAGGCACTTATTACCTTGTTTTGGGCAAACGTGTTTGGAGAATACCCATACCTAAGCATCTCTTCATAAGCCTCCAATACCAATTTATACATGCCTCCACGTTCATAGATTTCTATAAGAACCAAGAAAAGTTTTGCCTTCGTAACAAAACCAAATCTCACTAACCCTTTAATAAGCTCCTTAACAGACCTAAACCGGTCAGTGAGCCGGCCGACGACAGGAACCATAAGGTCTTCCGACCGACGGTTATGGAAGAAACTCGGTTGGCGAGCACACCACAAGAAAAAGCTAAGTGCAATTACATCAGAACTGCAGTTCACTAAGGTCGATTCCACAATCTGGTGAGTGAGAACGACTCGAGGCCTCATTGGAAACTCTGATTGTGTAGCTTCCGTAGATCTTTCTGGGGCTCTATAAGGTGAGTAACTCATTAACGAAGAAACATTTTGGGTAAGTTTAAAAGATGGATACTTGAAGATTCGACTCGATTTTACCCCTGACAATCTCCATCTCAATATCATTTCGAGCTTCAAACCAGAGAAAAAAAGAGGATAGAAAGCTTTCTCAATCCACTCATACATGAAAGAAAAACAAACAGATTCGAAAAACAAAGTACAGATGCAAAGACCATTGAAGAAAAACTTGAAAGAAAAACGGAGAGGGAAGAGGGTACACACCAGGGATGCTCGAGCTTTGATTCTCCGGAAAACCCTAACGAGAAATGAAGACGAGCAGGCTGTGCTAGTGTGCAACTGTGCAACACCCAAACCCCTTAATAAAACACCCGCCCCGAACCCGATCTTTTGCCCGATTCCCGATTTTCTCACGTTTGTGTCAAAATTTTCTTGAGCTGCGCTTGTTTTCGGTGTAAAACTCCAAACTCGGATGGAGTTCAACGCTGAATTAAAACTTAATCGCTAAAATCGATTATCGATGGAAAACTCGGCCGATGGGTACACCGAAGAGTGAAGACAAACGCGTGAAGGGTGTTCATGAAAAATCGAAAAATCGAACCGAACCTTAAAATGTGGTTAATTGAACCGCTTTGAAATTTTTGAAAAACCGAATGATTGATTCAGTTTTTGGTTAATCTAAAAAAATGATGATTAATTGAACCGACTATATTTTATATATATTTTTAATATATGATACATATTTTTTATATACTATATAATAAATATATATATATATATATAAATATACTTATATTATATTTATAATAATCTATTTTATAAGTATTATATATATTATATTTTTAAAATATTTATAATATATTATATATCATTCATTATTTATAATATAATATTATACATATATTTATATTATATATTATAAATATAAAAAACCTAACTGGTCAAAAACCGAAATCGATAGACTGATTAACCGGTGGTACCGATTCGGTTTCGATTTGGAGAAATGGAAAAACTGGTACCACCGGTTCGGTTTGCAAAAATTGCCCATGGTTTGGTTAACCGAACAGTAAACACCCCTAGAAACTACAAACTTTGGGTGGAGTTCTACACATGTCCATATTTATACCGAAAGCAAACACGGGCAAATGCCAACTAGAATTTTACGTTGATTTACATTTATATCAAAGACAAACACATCCTAGAAAAAATGGGAATGTGGGTGGAGTTAGGGTCTCACATCAATAAAACACGTTCCAACACCCTACTTATGTGATCTAACACCACACATCACACTATAAAATTGGGACCCGCCATGCATGAGATGTGTAGTGTGAGATGATGTTGGTAGAGAGTTGGTGGTATTCTGTACATGGCCATGCACAATTTATATCATTATTGAAGAAAGCTCATATAAGATTAAAAAAATGCCTCGTTTGGTGTGTCTTTTTGTTTAGGCTATCGGCTTTTTGTAGTCCAATTTCTCGTCTTTTCCCATTTGGTTGAGAAAAGATTTAGTTGCCGAAAGACAGTCCCAAAAAGACGTTAGAAAGCTCCAAATGGAGCTTTTTTTTTTAAAGATGCACGAAAAGACATGCCTCTACCAAACAGTCTATGGGTTGTCAATATCTTTATGCAAAAGCTCACATCGTCTTTTGATTGTCAAATCTTCTATAATATCTTTGAAAAAAAACTTGCTAAACGGCACCTAAAACATTCAATCATTTGCAATAAATTATATGATACCATAAGAGCTTTGACCAGTTAAAGCCCACCATGAATTTTGACAAATACAATATGATTGGTTAACACATTTATGATACTGGTTGATTTGGTCACAAGTTTCTCAAACGTGTATTTTTTATATCATATTTGAACCCAATGCCATTTTGACATTTTTCCAAAAAAATATTGATTTTTCAACTGAGACAATTGAAAATGTATACACTTCACGTTGAATGGTTCAACCAAACAAAAAAAAAAAGTGGGTTTCTATTGCAACAAACATCTATATAGGTATATGCCGGCAACATATTTTATAATAAATAGCAATGGTATCAAACACCACCTTAGAGATGTTCTTTGCAACATTATTCTAATAAACAGCAATGGTACCAAACACCACCTTAGAGATGTTTTTTGCAACATTTTTCTAATAAACGGCAATGGTACCAAACACCACCTTAGATGACGTTATTGGGTTCCGTGGGTGTTTTATTGTATAGCTTGCCTACACACCTTTTTTTTACTTTGAAAAAAAATAGTTTTTTCCAAAATTTATTTTTTCCCACCAAAACTTTTGTTTTGTGTGTTGTTTTCTCTTTTGTGCCTTGCCCCATGTTGAAAAATTAAATGACCTCTCCTAAGGTCTTTAGTAAGAGCCCACTTATATTTCTTATAAGTATGGAAAGAAACATAGTAGAAAAAATGCATATGTGCAATGCAATGAGGCACTTTATAGATACATTTTGCTCACACCCGCATGGTCTTTTATGTACGGGTGCTATAAATTTTGTGAATCCTACAAAGGAATATGCGAATCTAGGTTGTCAAGTGAGACCTAAGTGAAAAGCAGAATTTGCAAATGTAAGTCCAACTATGAAATTCAATTTGCATATGTGATTCTAGTTGTGGTTCCATCTATGAAGTCGGAATTGCACCCAATGTAGGTTGTGATTTTCATAATGGGATTGGCATGAACTCGTATAAAGATACAATGAGACACCTTTGGAAGGTTTAATCATAACACCATCGATATTGGGATATTGTATTTTAATCTAATGGTCATGAATTGATCATGTATGATCAATAGACATTATTTAAATGTTAATTGAGTGCGAATAATCACTAAAATCAAATTGGTGACTATATAAATAACCTCTTCAAACATACTTGAGACTTTTAATGGTGATGCTTCAAAATCTATAAAATTGATGTAAGTTAAGTCATTACCCATTTTAAATATAATACGCAATAAAAAATCCGTTGCCTCTCAATTTGAATTATTGCTATTTCGCAACAAATTTCATATGAGATTCTTCAACTTTGCTAATTGTAATATATCACCCAAGGCTCTACTGTATTCTGGTAATGAATTTGCCTACAATTCAACAATAAGCCCAGCCATCTGAGTGGAGGAAAATAATGTTCAAAGTCTTTAGATACTTAATTTTCTACCAAAACTACATTTCAAACAAGTGTTAATGGGTCAACATTTGATTTATTCAGTTAAAATTAAACTAAATAGATTTTGTAGTTTACAAAACTAAACTTCAAAAACAAAAAACCAAATTGAAACAAAAATTTTCATTTTGGGTTTCAGTTAATTTAGTTAAAATAAACTTTCATTAATATTACATTCATTCTAGCCAGGACCCATGCAATGCACAAGCCTGGTTACGCAAAATTAAAGTATAAAAGAACCTTATGGTGTTTCTAATCAAGCCATGTCAATCCGAGCCAATCCAAGTATTATATTTTTGAGTTACATTTAGTTGTTTCGACCACAACCCAAATTGAAACCCTAGCGAGAGTGGCTAATCTCGCATAGGAATGATAATGAATCAAGTTAAATGGTAAATTCCACTTATCTCACCCCTACATGGTCAAGTTAGGGTCAAGCTTATTAAGGTGTAGAGTTAGGTTTTTTATTATTTAACCCAAATTGGGTGCAAAGTTTGGTCAACATGACCCGTCGGATCATAAATACCCATACACATATATTCTTCTAATTTGGTATAACTTTTAACCCTAACCTTAGAGTATATGATTTATTTAACTATTTGTTTTTGGTCTTTCCCTTTGACTTTAGAGAAGTGGTGCCTTGGAACCCATATAGCAACTTCTAACTTAGGGACCATTTGGTTCGTAGACAGGATCGGAATTGGAAACCCTAGGAATTGAAAATCGAAATTGCCTATTCATGATGTATCTTTGGTTCAGTCAGGAATTATAATTGGGTTTCAATTTTTGTTATTTGGTTCATTCGGAGTTGAAATCATAATCAACTTAAAATATTAAAATTTGTATTGGTCTATTTACTATTTTATTAGTAATTTTTTAATATTTTATGAACATATAATTATTTTAGCAATACTTCATTGTGATTATTTACTAGTATTTAATAATTGTTATCTTAGTATTTATCATAATTTATGAGTATTTTATTAATAAATTATTTCTTATTAGTTAAGTAATATTTTTATTATTGTATTGTATTACTAATTTATTATTTTATTATATTTTATTGCGATTTTCTTACTTGTATATTAATATGTTTACTTAATTATTATTGTGATTGTTGTTTTATTAAATAATATATTTGCTTATTGTGATTATTTTACTAATATTTTATTATTATTGTAGTTATTAATATATTCATATTTTATTAGTATAATCTTATTATTGTTTTCATAAGATTTTATTATTTAGTTATAGCATTTTTACTATCATTTAATGAATTGTTTATTATTATTTTAATGATATTTTGTTAATATTTTTTTATATTCTAATACGATTATATTTAATAATTAATATGTTTGTTTATTATTATTTTATTATAGTATTATTACTATTTTACTAATATTTTATTAATATTAGGGTTTAGGTTTTTTGAGTTGGGTCAGTATCGAGTTGAACCTTATAGGTTGAGGGAGGTTCAAAAACTACATAGTATTGAGATTGAGTTGGGTTGGGTTTGAATGTAGGGGTGATTATGGGCCAAACCAAATTTGGGTCAAACTTTGCCTTTATGATTAGATTTATAGCCTAGGTTTGGGCTATTTTGAGCCTGAAACATAAGCTTGGGGCCAAGCCCTCTAAATCCTCTAGTCTTGTAAAATCGTGGGAGAAGATTCCTTCTTCATCTTATCCTTTTACTTTAGCAAATACGGCCAGTCAACTTTCACAACCTTCACTCTCTTCGGCCTCCAATGCGACTTCGACCTTGGCTCAAGGGTTCTAGCCTTGGTACAACTAGCAGGTGTCTAGGCTATCCGACTAGGGTTCTAGCCCATTGATATCTCCGAAGAAACTATAATCTTTGGGTTTTAGTCAAAGGTTCTACGTTACCTACTAGCAACTAGAGGTTCCGACAAGGTAGCGGCAGCTAATGGTGTAATGAAGAGTAAAAAGTAAGGGATCGAAATGGAAAGAATAGAGAGGAACAATTTTAAATTTGAATAGAGAAGTTAGGGTCATTGGCTCTAATACCAAACGGGTGAGAGAGAGAATAATCAATGCTAGAATAGTGAGAGAGAGAACAACAAGTGCTAGAACAGAAGTAGAACAGTTTAGTATTAAAAAGGTACGAAATAGGGAGTTGGGATAAGAGGCTAGTGAACAGCGATGAACATGGCGAATAATAGTGA